CCCTAGCTGGGTAGGAAGACCCCGATTGGCTGGAGGCATGGAGGGCTCCTAGACCATTGCTTCAATGTTCCCAGGGGGTTGAGTCTTCTGGGGATTGCCCAAGGTCTTGGGCTGGCCTTGGGCTGCAGTTTTAAAATGGCTTGTCTTTGAAAGCCACTGAATTAATTTCAGCTCACCCCCACTCCCTCCTCTGTGAGGTTGGTAGGTGGGTGAGTACACCATTAATCAGTGAGTGAGGAAAAACTGAGCCACTATTTTTAATACCATGAATGGCTGTCAACTTCATGCTTGGTTAATACTGTTAGGTCCATTAATTGTTAATTAAACCAGTTGAAAATAATACCTGATTATTCATGTATACTTTTGAAATATTCCAGTTCTAAACTGGACACGTCTACACGTGCACCTGACTGTGCAGTTGTTACTGCGCAGTCATTTAGTACTGGCTTTAGCCCCGTTGGCGTATGGGTCGTTTCCAACCCTACTGCATAGTAGCAATGAGCTACTGTGCCTGTTTAGCAGCACTGGCATCACAGTTTGTGCCTGCCAACGCAACATCAATGTAGCAATGAGCTACATTGCTGTAGTTCATTGCCATGGCAATGTAGCATCTCGTGTAGACGTGCCCACTGGTTTGTACATCTAGATGCTTGCATGTCTAACCTGATTTAAAATGGTCAGACTACAGTGTTGTGTGCCAACACCCATAGATGCAAAGGCACAAATGTCATTATAGAGAACTTTAAATGTAATTATAGCAGACATTTAAAAAAGAATACTTAGCCCCAATTCAGTAGGATAAAGTGCAGCAGACAGACCCCTGCATCTGTGTAAAACCCCATTTATTTTTGTACTGATGCCAGCTTTAACCTATAAGGCCTTAAATGGTGTGGACTTATATATCTAAGGGAGTGCATTTTCCCATATGCCCCAACATGATGGTACAGCAGCGAGCAATGTATCACCAGTATGCCAAGTATGCTCGGCAAAAATGCATGGGAGGTCATTCTCAGCTCTGGAACTCCCTCCCACTTGAGGGTTATCAGTAGAAATCCTTCTGGGCCCGTAGGGTGTGCTGGAAATGTGGGATCCCAGGAGACTGGGCGAGTCAGCAAGAACCTCTGGGTGGCAGGGCAGGAGCAGGCCAGCCGTCAGAGCCTTGCAAGGGCAACAGCAAAAGTGATACCCCTGTCCTGTAAATAGTTGTGTATAAGTTTCTATGTGTAATAGAGTTGTTCCACATTACAAGCCTTACATTACATTACAGCCAGAGCCTGAGCCCGGACATCTTTTGGAAGAGCTGTAAGACCTTCCTGTTTGGGCAGGCATGGACCAAACTGAATTAGGATGAGATGTTGTTTACAGGGTTTCTGTTTTGCCTTGATGTTCTAGTTCCCCTTTTTAACTGATCCGATCCCTTTATCGCTCTCCCGTTTTTAAGACATTATTTTTTCGCCCCAGAGCCTTTGTTTGAAAGAGCAGCATAGAAATTGAATAAATCAATCACTACTTTTCCCCTTTCCAACCCACAGATATCTCTCTGAAGAACGAAGTGCCCATTTATTCATATTAGATGTTATAAAAACATTTATGAGGGTTGAGTCAAGTTATGGCCAGGCCTGGTTTTTATCAGATGAGCAGAGCAGGTGGTTATCTAGGGCAAAGAACATTTTGGCGGGGGGAGGGGTTCTTGCATGACTGCTTTTTAGAAGCAGTCGCACATATTTCCTTTTATGAATGTTTGGACACATTTCATTTTACGATAGTAAACACCTCAAGCTGGAGCTTGGCTCGGCTCAACGTGCCAGGACGATTTCAAAAGCTCAGCAGCGAATAATTGGGAAGTCCACAAAAAAAAAAGCAGCAGTCCTCTATCCTCACGAAAGGGAGCGACTCTGAAATAGCTTTCATATTAATAAACCGCAAAAGAGCGGGTGCCTAAAGAACACAGTGGGAGGAGGAGGATGGAGGCGCCCGAGGATTGCTTTGGTTCATTTAGCCAGGCAGAGGTAGCCCCTCACGGCAGGACCGCCCGCCACTTCCACTCGTTCCCGCCTCCTATTTCTGTTGCTTTGTATGTGGGGACACAAGAGTGGTTATAAGCCCAGCTCTCCAGCAAGCTTGAGCTCCGCAGGGGGCTACGGCACCGCCCGCTCAAGGGCAAACACCGGCTCGCAGCCGTGATAGGACCCGCGCGGGTGGGGGAGCAGGAGCGCAAAGTCCCGCCCGACCACCAACGGCCGCGCAAGCGCCCTGAGTGAAGGCGCCGGCCCCGCAGTTTGAAATGAACCCCGCCCGGCGCTCCCCATTGGCCCGCCTCCGCCGCCACGTGATGCGCGCTCCACCACTCCGCGCGTGGCGCGCGCCTTTTCGAACGAGGAGTCTGTCGCCGCGACCGAGCGCTGCGTATCCCTCCGCGGGACTCGCCTGTTGGGGGCTCGGACGAGCTTCGCGCGGAGGCCTCCCCCAGACCCGCCGC